AGAGAGAGAGAGAGAGAGAGAGAGAGAGAAAAGAGAAGTAGAGGCCAGCCATGACCACATGGAGAGAGGGGTACGGGAAGGGGGGAGGGGGGAGGGGACAGAGAGAAGCTAGAGGCAAGAGATCAAGAGAGAGAGAGGGAGGAGGGGGCAAGCAGCCCCTTTTATAGTGGACCAGGCCTACCAGGCTGTTGCCAGGTAACTGTGGGGAGGAGCATGCCTGGCTGTTGCCAGGTAACTGTGGAGGTGGAGTTTAGACAGAATTCTAACAGGGAGTCCTTTCCTGTATTGACTTTCCTCTCGCTGTAGCTAGGAGGACACTGCCACCTTTAGGACACACATTAAAGACGTGTGTGTGTGTGTGTGTGTGTGTGTGTGTACTTGTACTGTGCTGAGGCTCTCATTAACTAGGGAAACTGGTACAAACAAATTTCATCTCCACATTAGTCCGAATTCTTTCTACAGATCCAACACTTAAGGGACTTGTGCATCACAAGCTTTTTGCATGATCATTTAAATGACAGTAAACACTTGTAGAGCGTTTACTATACCGCCACAGCTGTGAGACAGGAAGTACTATCATGCCATCCTCACTGAGAAAAGCGGGATGAAATTACAGAGTAACAATGGGGACCGCAAGATGGAACTCTCGGTCCACATTCCACAATAGAACACAACACCAAAGCTTACTCAGACAGGCCTCCCGCCCCGCCCGAGCATGCGTAGAGAGACATTGAGGCGCCCGCGGTCGCAGGGCGACAGAGGTCCGGCATGCCTTGCGGGTACCGCAAGATGGCGTCGCCCATGCTGAGACTCCTGTACCGCGTTCCGCAGACGAGGGTCTGGCCACGAGGGCCGCGTACGGTGCGCCTGGACACGCGGGGATTGCTGGTAGCACCAAGGGCCCGCGGCCTGTTCAAGGAATTCTTCCCGGAGAGCGGCACGAAGACAGAGCTCCCCGAACTCTTTGACCGCCGCAGGGCGGGCTCGTCGCCCCAGACGGTGTACTGCGGTTTCGACCCCACGGGCGATTCGCTTCACGTGGGGCACCTGTTAACTTTGTTGGGTCTATTCCACTTCCAGCGAGCCGGCCACAACGTGATCGCGCTCGTGGGCGGCTCCACGGCTCTTCTGGGAGACCCCAGCGGCCGGACCAAGGGGCGCGAGGCGCTGAGCGCGGAGTGCGTGCGGGCCAACGCGTGCGCCCTGCAGCGAGGGCTCGAGACCGTGGCGGCCAACCATGCGCGCCTCTTCGCGGACGGGCGGCCCTGGGGCACTTTCACGGTGCTCGACAACGCTGCCTGGTTCCAGAAGCAGCACCTAGTGGATTTTCTGGCCACGGTGGGCGGCCACTTCCGCATGGGCACTCTGCTGAGCCGACTGAGCGTGCAGGCTCGTCTCAAGAGCCCCGAGGGCATGAGCTTGGCGGAGTTCTTTTACCAGGTGCTCCAGGCCTATGACTTCTATTACCTTTTCCAGAACTATGGATGCCGGGTCCAGCTGGGCGGATCAGACCAGATGGGCAACATTATGTCTGGCTACGAGTTCATCCACAAGTAAGCTGGAATTATTAGAGCCTACAGAAACCCGGGGACGAATACACAATAGTAGTGTGTTATTCGTTAGGAAGATTGTAAGATACTGCTCTTGCGAGTTAGAAGGCCTCAATTATGGACATACTGTAGAGCTGCTGGAAGCAGACCAATATTCAAGATTTGGATTGTGTCTGTTTTCCCTAAGTCACCTTCGGTTTCTAACTTGAGAAATTATTTATCCTGAAAATAATTGGACTTCTGTTTAGAGCTCTGCGCATTAATTTAGCCTTTTGCCCCCATAAAGATTTTCACAGCATTTTCTTGAGGAATATAGAGTGCAGGGCTGGCTCTACACGACAAAACTCATTTAAAAATATTAAAAGCCACCTCCTAAATGTACCCTTCTGGTGCCCCTTCCTCCAGTTTTGTCATTTTTCTACCTTATCTTTCAAGACTCACTTCCTGTTGACTTGCTCAGAAGCTACAATTGCACTTAAGCATGACACATGTAAAGTGCCTGTTTGTATAGTTCTTGAGGACCAGACTGAGAAAGACTTTTAAAAACATAAAGTAACCAGATTTAAATCTGTACTGTGCTTGGTGGAACTAACTGTGCTTAACAGAATACTATGAATGTATGTGTAGGTTGACTGGAGAAGATGTGTTCGGAATCACTGTACCTCTAATTACAAATACAACTGGAGCAAAGCTGGGAAAGTCTGCAGGCAACGCAGTTTGGCTAAACAGAGAGAAAACCTCACCTTTTGAACTTTATCAGTTCTTTATCAGACAGCAAGATGATTCTGTAGAGAGGTAAGCTTTTAATAGGCAGCTGAGAAAAATTAATATGTAGTTATGATTCAGTTTTAGATAGTGAATCTTTTTCTTTGTAGGTGTTTTTTTCATTGATTCTATTTAAGGTGTAAATTATTGTGTCACAGGATATTGTCTTTAACTGTCATAATTTTATTTATTTTTTTAAAAGATTTATTTATTTTATTTATGAGTACACTACAGCTGTCTTCAGACACACCAGAAGAAGGCATCGAATCTTATTATGGGTGGTTGTGAGCCACCATGTGGTTGCTGGGATTTGAACTCAGGACCTCTGGAAGAGCAGTCAGTGCTCTTAACCACTGAGCCATCTCTCCAGCCCCAATTTTGTTTATTTTTACAATACTAGAGTTGAACTCAGGGCTGAACGGCTATTAGGTAGGTGCTTAACCATTGAGCTACATCCCAGGTCTGGAGAAAAAAAGAATGCAATGTTCTACCTCTTACATCTTTTGAGGTGTGTAACTTAGCTATAGAATCCTGTATGTAGGTAGCTGTTGTGAAGATGCCTATTCATGTGAGTCTAAATTGTGTACTGTACCTTAATCTTTAATTTTGTTTCATTCTTGCTGGTCCTCAAGTCTTCTGTTGTATAATCAAGGATCCAGCTTTACCTGAATGCAGATTTCAAAGGGGGAAGAGAACTTCTCAGTCAGATGTGTTAGTCTATGTCTCCTGTTGCACCACCAATGACAGTACCAACTATTCCAGAGTGATGAGAGTAAACTTAAGAGATTTTTGAAATAATAGTTGCCAATCCTTACTAAAATAAATTTGTACATAAACTGGTCTAACATAACCTCTACTGGATACATGCCTAACAGAAATTCATGCATGTGTGTACTAACAAAAATATGAAGGTATTGGTGGCATGATTAGCATATGTTCAAAAGTAGATACAATGGCCACAATAAATCACAGAATATTAATAGCTTTGAAAGCTGTGCTTGTGACATAAGTCTGAATATGCTCGTGTGCCAAAGTAAGTTAGAAATAAAAATGCAGTTTGCATTATTTTACTCATAATCTTGTATGTAAGAGGATGATTTCATAGGTGTTTGCTTTATAATGGTTCACTAAGCTTTGTGATATGTGCTTTTTTCTTCATAGCATTTTGCAAAAGTTAACATATGGAATACTCTTTTTTTTTTTAAAGATTTATTTATTTATTTATTTATTTATTTATTTTGGTTTTTCGAGACAGAGTTTCTCTGTATAGCCCTGGCTGTCCTGGAACTCACTCTGTGGACCAGGCTGGCCTCGAACTCAGAAATCCGCCTGTCTCTGCCTCCCAAGTGCTGGGATTAAAAATGTGCGCCATCACTGCCCGGCAAGATTTATTTTATTTATATGAGTACACCATGTGTGTTTCAAGACACACCAGAAGGTGGCATCAGATCCCATTACAGATGGTTTGTGAGTCACCATGTGCTTGCTGGGAATTGAACTCAGGACCTCTGGAAGAGCAGTCAGTGTTCTTAACTGTTGAGCCAGCTCTCCAGCCCCATCATACCAAATTTTAAGAATATACATAACAAAAATGTCAAAGTATGCTTAGTAGGCATACATTTCTGCACCATTTTGTTACTTAAGGAAAATGGGAAATAAGTATTAAAAAATATGCCCATCGGGATTGTCTTAGTGTACCATTTAAGTACATTGTACAGTTTTTCATTAATAAATTCAAAAGTGAATTTAGGATTTTTCTTCCCAAGACAAGCTAGTAGATGCACATGGAATGTTTTATCTCTTGTCCTGCAGGTACCTGAAGCTTTTCACTTTCCTTCCCCTCCCAGAGATTGATCACATTATGCAGCTACATGTCAAAGAACCAGAAAAACGAGTTGCTCAGAAAAGACTTGCTGCAGAAGTAACAAAGCTTGTTCACGGACAAGAAGGTCTGGACTCTGCTAAAAGGTTGGCTTTAGAAAGTTAATGATCTAGTTAATAGTTCTAGCTTGATGTATCTACAACACAACTCCTACACATAAGGCTCAGAGAACATCTTGGAAGAAGGGGAGGAAAGAGTGTAAGAGCCATAGGACTGGGATATTGGCTGTTAAATTGTTTGTCCTGGAAATGACAGGAAGCTTTACCCACAATACTGTGGTATGACTGCCTAAACATGTATGTATGCATGTCAAGGGAGAAGTCTCATGAGGCCCCACCCCTCAACAAAGAACTACAGGCAACTAAGGAATGCTGAGAGAAGTTAATACTTAATGAAAGTTAGTAATGAAAGTTAGGATAGACAAGAAAAATTGGAGATGATCTTTTAAGAGTTTCTTATGGATTACTAACCTGTACTGTATTTAACTTAAGTATTTTTACATTGTCTTTACTGGGTAAGTCTTTAAGTTAGTGAATTACACAAAATAGGTATGCTGCTGAAACATTATACTCTGGAACACAGTGGGCACTCTATAGATATTTGGTGGTGTGTGTGGGTTTGGGGGTGAAACAGTCCCTAATGTAGCTTTGTTTTTCAGGTGTACACAAGCCCTTTACCATAGCAGCATAGAGGCACTGGAGGTCATGTCTGACCAAGAGTTAAAAGAACTGTTTAGAGAAGCTTCATTTTCTGAATTAGTTCTCGACCCTGGAACAAGTGTCATAGATACATGCCGTAAAGCAAATGCCATTCCTGATGGTCCCCGAGGGTAAGGTTATACTTTGTGATTCTTAATTCACTGTGAAATGCTGCATTTCACAGCATGTTTCCAGGGTGTTTTCCTGATAGTGCTTTTAATGTAACTCATTTCTTGCAGAAGTTAGGCTAAGCAGAACAATAAAGTCAAACCAGGAGTTCATACAGCAGAAAATACCTTGACCTCCTTGTAGGACTCCTTCAGTGTTTCACTGGGATTTGTTCAGAGAAGTGAAAAGATTTGTCCCTCATACTCAGCCTGTAGGGTTTTGGAGGATAGGATCTATTTTAAAATTTAATTACTGAAAAGAAATGAGAATAGAAAAAGAACTTTATTAAACTAGAGACTATTCTGGAGAATTACATTTTCTTTTGTAGAAATAAATGGCATATTGCAATTCCTTAGTTCTACCATATTAGGGAATATGTTTGCTCTGTAAGAAGCAATATGGAATGTAATGTCCATTTATAACTAAACAGCAACAGGTAGAAGGAAAAGTAATAACCAGAAAACCCAAGTGCCTCATCTATTGGACACTGTACATAAAGTAACTGTCACTTGGCCATGGTTATTACATGAGTGACATTTGTTCGTTGCTTTCTTTCATTTGTTTTGGAATGTTTGCCTCTCCAGTGAGATCCAAATTGTGTTTGTAGGCAATACCATCTCCCTGTTCATGACGTACCACTCAGCCGGATTTACTTATTCCCTAATATATTGGTTTACATAAAATGTGCCAAATTTAACCCTGGAGTCAAATTCTCTGTATATTGTCTAGTTTTATGAATTTCCTTATGAACTTTGCTGATAACTAATTTACTGATAACTAAGTTGTACCTCTACTTAAATCACCCAAATTAGCCAGAGTCAGAATGCTGCATTTTTCATACCATAAATAGGGTTGGCCTATATAATATTCAGCCTGAAAACAGCCTGCCTAGAAGAAATACACTTGTAAATAGAATTTTGTTGTTGGCTTGATTTTATAAAGCTGTGTTCACTGATCTGCTTAACTGTTTAGTAACTCATGCCCCTTTCAAGGGTCCCTTCTATTTCCTCTCCTTGTCAACATCCTGCTGTCATTCAGTGTCTTAACACCTTATATGTCAAGGAAGTTCCCAGAGCTTCTGACTCAGTCAGTGTGCCCCCGTCCTTCTCTCTCTTTAATACTAATATTTGTTTAGCACACAGTAAGAACTTTATTGAATAAATTGGATGTAAAATTCAGTTAAACCTACTTTTAGCATATACTCATTAAACTAGCTACTGATTTCCCATTTATGAAATCAGCTAATTAAAGAATTTTGTTTTTATTTTAAACAGTATTAGTTCATAGTCTCAGTATTTTCCAGTTCCTATCATTTCTAAAGATTCAAGTTGGGATTTTTATCACCTGTATCTATGGGTAGCATATTTTAAAAGCAAAATTATTCTTTTTTGTTTTTAGGAATTATTCTGGGAGTTTTTCTCCACAAGAATAGATAAATTCTCAAAGTGAATCCCCATTAAAAACCATAATGAGGTGAATGTGTCAAAAGCTGATATATTTGAGCCTGGTGGTGTAATCTCAGATACTTGGGAAGTGCAGCAGGAAGATCGCAACTTTAAACTGCCGCCTGAGCTACAGTATAAGTTCAGATGAGCACAGACACCTTACCTCAAGTTAAAGGTAGAAGTCAGGTCAGGTGATGGTGACAAAGTGCGCCTAGTTATAAAACCTTTCTATTTTCAGGTATCGGATGATAACAGAAGGTGGAGTCAGTATAAATCACAGACAGGTAACAAATCCTGAGGGTGTTTTAGTAATTGGACAGCATATTCTCAAGAATGGACTTTCCTTACTTAAAATAGGAAAAAGGAATTTCTACATTGTAAAATGGCTTCAGCTGTGAAAGGTTTTGTCTACATTTGTCCATCATCAACATGTGGAGGTCTCCAGAATCCCAAGAGTGGAGTGTGTTCAAGGCCCCCTCACAATGTAAACACTTCTGTGCATTTCAAAAATAAAGTGTTATTTAATTATAGTTCATTTCTTTATGCAAGAATGATTCTTCTTGCTCGTTGGGCTGAAGGACTGGTGCAGTGGAAACGACTATAGTATAGTTACACAGTAGGTAAGGTGCAGAGCACTTAACTAACTGTAGTAGTGTTACGTAGCTCTAAGAACTAGCCAAGCTTCTAATGTTTGTTGAGATGTGAGAAATCTGTTACAAATTTAAACTTCTGATTGATGCTAATAAGCAAACAGAATTCTTAAAAAGGAGTTAGATGTGGCAGTAGTTCCCAATAGAAACTGTAGTACAAAATAGTTTTTTTCTCAAACAAAACACCAATCAGTACCAGACTTCATTTGTAGTTTAGTTTTCCACTTCCTTGTCTGTGTTTCAATAATTCATTTACTTATAATTGCCCATTTCTGTCAATGGATTCCTCCAGCAGATTTTTATTTTATATTTTTTTGTTTTTTTGAGACAGGGTTTCTCTGTGTAGCCCTGGCTGTCCTGGAACTCACTCTGTAGACCAGGCTGGCCTCAAACTCAGAAATCCGCCTGCCTCTGCCTCCCAAGTGCTGGGATTAAAGGCGTACACCACCACCGCCTGGCTCTACGGCAGATGTTTTAAGAAACCAAAAGTATGCAGTCATTAAGAACAGCAAAGATATAGGAAGTTTTAAGGTCAAACTAGTTCAGGTTTGTATACACGAGTCAAGTTAATTCTCCAAAATGGTTTCTGTAAAAATCAAGATAGTACCACCCCAATGTACATAGGGGTGAAACATAAACTGTTGATCAGCTTCTGGATGTCTTGGAGAAAAGTGTAATGTTCCCATTCTGAGCATTCATCCTTGGATTACTTGGAAGAAGTTTCTGTCTTCATCTGTAGACATGGAGATGTCTTGTTACAACAAGGCCTTGATGGTGATTACCTAATAGGAAAAATGGCATCAAACTTTTGGTACAGTAAATTGTTACATTATAAAGTAGATTTAGATATTGTAAAGATGCAGTTATTTAAACTTTTTTTTGAGGCAAGTCAGGAAGAATTCACTTATTGGCAAACTTTAATGCCATTTCACACCAGCATTTTTATTTACATAGAACATACAGTGGTCTTATAAATATACCAGAAATTATCTCCATGTTTCAGAACACAACTCAGTGTAAAAGCACACAAAGGAAGCTTCCCCTTTCCCTACATTTCTTGCTTGTTTTTCTTTGTACAAAGTGTGTCGTGCTAACAAGTACATTATCATAGCATGTTTTTAAAGCTAACATCGTCCATTTAAAATCGTCTGAAATGTTGGATAAAGGTGCATTTCTTTCTCCTTACAAATTCAAAAGGCTACAGTGGTAGTTATCTCTCTTAAAAAATAAATCATGGATACCTAATAGTTGGATTAACAAGATATTTTTTTTTTAAGAATGCTCACACATTTAGGCAGTGTGTACTCACTGTATCAGACTGCCTTTATGTTTTTGAGATTGTTCAGTGGGCATCATAAACTAAAGATAACATGTTCTGTTTTCTTTGTTTCTTTGTTTCTGTTTCTTTGTTTCTGTATTTGTTTCTGTTTCTTTGTTTATGTGTTTTATAAGATGCCTGACCATAACCTGAAAAGAATTTTAATATTTATAACATGAATGTATCACTTGGTCAGAGACAACTAGATAAATCGAAGATTTCTACTTAGGTTTCAGATTTTTTGGGAGGGGGCTCAAGATAGGGTTTCTCTGTGTAGTTCTGGTTGTCTTGGAACTCAACTCTGTAGAACAAGCTGGCCTTGAACCACCTGCCTTTGCCTCCCAAGTGATGGGATTAAAGGGGTGCACCACCAACCGCCCAGCTAGGTCAGAAAATTTTTTAATGCTTAGGTTACAACCTGAGTTGAACAGGCAGTTTTCACAAAATAGGTTGTAAACATCACCCTCAACCCTTGAATACAGTTTAGTAGTCCATAAGGTGTATGTCCATAGGTGTATGTCCAGGTATTTTTCTTTAACAAAGGTCCACTAGTATTTTCATACCATTAGTCTAATGTATTCTGTTGGCATGGAACTAAAGTAGCTATTACCAGTGGATACAGACTAGAATTTTAGGTCCCACTTAACTGTGAGTCTTGGAGCCCAATGTAAGTGTCCCACTTTAAGGGTGTATCTGGATTGTAATTGCTGTATTTGTAAATAAGGGAAATTTAGGTTATCATTGGATCTTTTAGAGACTAACAGGACTAGCCATTGTTAGTAAGAAAGTTCCCAATAGTTGTTGTCAATGCAGAAAGTCAATTCATATCTTCAGGCTTATTTTGAATCAAAGTATATTTTAATTTCTAGTACACCAGGTCAGTGTAGACTCAGGAGCCATTAATTACACAGTCTGTTCCTACATCTTTAAGAGTCTTTCAGATCTTATATATTTCTTAAAACTGCAAAAGTTATAGTTTTGTTTGTTTTTAAGACTATAAAAATGAAGGCTAGGTGGATACATTGATTATGTGAGGAACTTGTCAGGCTCCATCTCTAGTGCATGCATTGTAGTCATGAAATGTCCTGGAGCTTCCTTTCTGAGGACTATGGCTGCAGCTTTAAGACTAAAAAAAGGTTATGTGGGTCATCATATGCACAGGCAAATTGCTTTGTACAACTAGAACATCAATTGTTCTTGTAAGTTTGACTGAAACAGACAGACTTGATATACAGTATAGGAAACTTGAAAAATGTGAATTAAACATGTGATTTGTTTTGTAATGAATAATATACTTTTCAGCTTATAGCCAGTCTTCACATAAGCAAATTCATACACTACAATACACAAAAGTTCATAAATAAACTTCTACTCAGGTAGGCAGTAGCTAGCAGGTTCAAGTCAGCAAAGTGTGGATATCAAACAGCTCTGTTCACCAAAGATGAGTCTCTCGGATTTCAGCAATAATTTGACTGGCTCCTTGTAATGCCTGAATTAAAAGAAATAAAAGCTGAAGTTTAGAATGTTAATCTGGATTTTGAAAAGAAATTTCTCCATTTTTCAATGCTTAAAAAAAAAGTAGCATCTGTTTTGAAATCTTAAGTCTAATCAAATACCAGTGTGTGAGGGGGACAAAATCAGAATGTAATTTTAATATCTTGCATGTGTATGTGTACATCCCAGGAGAAAAACCGAGAACAATTTCACAGTTACCTTCAGCATATCAGCTGCTTCTTTTCTTCGCTGTGCCATGTCCTCAGATTCAGTCAGAAGGTCATCTAATAAGGATGACTTATACAGCTGCCCAACTAATTCACTCTGAAGAGTATCTTTCACATGATTAACCAAAAAATGCATTACTGCCTTTGGGACACTGCAAAGCAAGGTCAAATCATGAACTTTTGGTGGTAACAATTCTATTTTCACAAATTTAGATTAGTGGTTCTCAACCTGTGAGTTGCGACACCTTTGGAAATCAAATGAGCTTTCCACAGGGGCTGCGTATCAGATATCCTGTATATTAGATATTTACATTATTATTCATAACTAGCAACATTACAGTTAGTAAGTAGCAACAAAATAATTTTATGGTTTGTGTCACCACAAGATAAAGTTAAGAAACCATTTAAGTTAAGAACGTTAAGAACCATTGATTTAGACTTTAGTAACTAGAGTATGGCTCTGTAAAGTAATGAAGTTAAATAAGAACACTGAATATTTAATATACTTAGTAAAATAGATACTCTCCAAGTGTTCATTCAATGAAGTATTAAGCAAAGTCACAATCCTTGATATTTTAGCTTCATTCATCTCACTTATCCCATATATAAACACAACAATGATCATTATTCTTAATAGCCCAAACTGAAATAATAAAATATTCAGAGTGATGAATGGTATATAATACAGTATATAGTCAACTGTAGAAAGGAAGTCAATTGTGAACAGGATCCATGCTGTAATATGAACAAGCTTTAAAACACACTGACAAGTAGGCGAGACTTAAGGCCTGAACTACAAGATAAATCCCACACCTGGCACAATTACGGGGCCAAAAAGCTATGGCTAGACAAAGAGACCCCAGAAGAGAACCTACCACTATTATTATACATAATGGACACAGCATTAAACCAGTTCCTAACGACCTAATTTAATACCCATAGATTGCACATCTCTCAACTCTCATTTGAGAAGTTGTTGGTTATAGATGGTGATTAACATTAGAGATCCATAGAGGCCAAGATGCAGAGAATAAGACATTGTATAATGTTCTGCCCTAAGTGGAGCTCCTGTATCTCCTCCCAAGGATCAAGAACCATTGCAGAAGAGGTGGTGGATGACAAGGAAACATTTTTGGACACAGTAGTGTAGCTGTAAATATGAATTCAGCAGTTGTGACAGCATGCACAAGATTGGTGCAAGCCTAAACCAGACCACATTTCCGCATGAGTAGAGGGGGTGTGGGATACAAAGTCTCCTCCCCAGCAGAGGAGCTACTGGCAATCTTCCTAACCTGTGACTGCAGACATATCACTATTCCTACATCCTTTTATTGCTAGTTTTTTTCAGCTGGTACATAATATTCTAATCATTCCATGTCAACAGACTAAGTCTTGCTATCACAGTTAATGTTAATATTTAGAATCAAAGGTAATCTAAAAATTGTAATGTATGATTTTTTTTAAATCATGAACTCATCCAGTAGTATTTACGTTTTAAATAATACTAACCTGTCTTGAATATTCTTTCTGACAATTAGAAAATACGACTTGATGAGTCTCTCAATCACCTCACAATCTCGTTGTTCTCGGGCAGACAGTTTTCGGGCAACTGGAACTGGCTAAAAGAGGGAAAAATAGTACAACATTTAATATTTAAAAGTTAAAAATATTGGTGACTTTAATTTCTTCTGTTTAGATAGTGTCCACTACTAACTTGATTCGCTTGTAGATTTAAACAGAATTATGGTGGCTTACCACATCTAGCAAATTGACAGCATGGCCTTTTTGTGGACTTGCTGGCATAATTGGGATTGGTTTTGATTTTTCTTCAGCAAGTAATTCTTCAGCTTTTGAAGTTTTCAGCATTCCTCTCCAGTTGCCTGTTGTTGGTTCCTGACCTCCGTCTCCAATCCCACCACCTGCAGATGCGACCTGAAAACACATGTTCCAAACCTATACCCTGTATATTTAACAACAAATGAAGTTCATTTTCTTTGATGGCAATCTAGAACATACAGGTAGCACCTATCTGGAATTTATTCAAACAGATAATGATGTCAGAAATAATGGTGGCATTTGTCACTAAAAACCCGAGAGATTCTGTTTGAAGCTGTTTGTAAGCCAATAGCCTATTCAGGTACTATTTAATTACTTTTTATTGATTATTACTTTCCAAAGCTTTGTATCTTTCATCATCCCTCAAACACTAAATTAAATAAATGCACACACAAGAAACAGAACTTGTCCTTACTCATCAAAGTAATCTTAAACACTTAACCATTGAACTTTGATCTTACAGTTCTGTGAGCTCTACATATTTCTAAAACTAGTTTACTACGGTTTTCACTATCCTTGATAGTCAAAAGTAAAAGTAGACGTCTTTCATAAAATCCATAGACCTAACTATCACATTACTAAGCTACCTAAAATGTGAACTGTAACATAAGCACAACACATCTCCCTCATAGTCTGTACTCCTGAGAAAGAGATGCAGAGAGAGAATCCACTGCTACCCTTACAACCTTATTTTATGTGGTCTTGACTTTTAAGAGAAAAAACTGCCTACATACTATAGTGGGAAAAACAAAACACATCACCGTTTAAGAGATGGTTTTAGATCCTCTTTAAGATCTTATAAATGTAATAGCAGATTGAAACATACAAATGTAATCGAAGAGTGCTATGGTACTGGTAAGAAAAACAACAGTTTGGGAAATCATTCAAATAAGAATCTGTCAAAGTGTCAAAAAAAAATAGTAAGCGATGCCTGTATATAGATAATCACATTTTTAGTGTTTATTAAATAAATACACATGAATTATGATAAATGAAATCATAAGGAAAGTGAGCCATGAATGAAATAAAACGTATGCAGTGATTTCTATGGTTCTCTGGAGACCACAGCTGAAAGATGGAGACGTCTGTAAAGATCAGAGGGTGAGAAACTTAAACCTAGAAAGTAAGTAGTGGAAGAAATAGGTCTGCATATCCTACACATGGTTTTCTGTGAAAACTATTACCAAGAATTGACAAGCCTTAAACTCTCAATTCCCATGTTTTGAATTTGCTTAAGCTTTGAAAGCACATGTGAAACTCTATGTTAGAGTTCCAACAGACACTGATGGAAACAGAAAGCACCGGAGAGGTGAGACCTTTACAGAGGAAATGTCCCCAGCACCATTTCCATCTCTGGAATCTTTTTTTTTTTTTTTTTGATACAGGGTTTTTCTATGTAGCTCTGGCTGTCATGGCACTCACTCTGTAGACAAGGCTGGCCTCAAACTCAGAAATCCACCTGCCTCTGCCTCCCAGGAACTGGAATTTAAAGCATGTGCCACCATGCCCAGCTCCATCTCTGAAGTCTTTAGAAAGAGGACATTGCAAACTCATCTTGGAAAAACAGCAGTAGGAGAGGCTATTGTCAGTAGTTAAGATGGTGCTAAAGCTAGACTAATGCCACCTTACAAGGGTTAGATAAAAGGAACATTAAGACCATAACACAGACAACAAAAAATGGAGGGCACTGTACAAACAGGTTCTTGATGAACTTGAGTGTTTTAGTAAGAACCAAAGGCACCGACATTTCCATCTGAAGCAAGAGACTCACATTTTTAGTTTCTCTTCTGTTGTCCTGAATTAACTGTTAAAAGATATGTTAAAACATGCAATTTAACAAGCAAGATTTAAATAGCAATGGCTTGAAAATTTTAAAGTAGATAACTTTTATAATTATTTTTCTGCATATATCTTCTATATAGCAAGCAAAGGAAAACATGTCAACGATACTTTGATATATACTTTGTTATACAATTTTAAAATTTGGATCAGGCTAACAGTCTAACATAGTATCCTATATCAATACTGTTTTATTCAGTGTACCGTCTCCAAACTAGGCATGCAGGCTTAGATTAGGAATCAGAACAGACCTTGCCATCAGCCTCAGCAGAAGCAGCAGGGGAGGGCTCCTGGGAGGCAGGTGCCAAAGCACTTGGAACTTTAGAAGACTAAAGGCAAAAATGCAGGGGGAAAAAAAAAATCAAGGATGCCAAAAATGCATTTGGAAACATTTTATAGACAAAATTCCTCTCTATAATGAATTAGTAAAGTAATGTAAAACCAGAGGTAACCATGGAGCTCTGTGTGTGTATGTTCTGCTTTACCTCCTACACCATTGTCACTGTTAAGCTTTTCTGTGGATGAACAAGTAAGAAAACCCAAATCCAACAGTGACTGCTGCTACTTTTTTGTGGGATGGGGGGAGATGTGGGTTTAACAACTGTTGAAAGTTACTGCCAAAAATTAAAATCTATGATATCTATAGTTGTCTTCCCTGTCTTTCAAACGCCCTTATGACAAAGTCATTCATTGCTGACCAAATAAGAATCTTAAAAAAGAAACCTTGACACTTAAAAGCCACCTTTCTTTTTAAATTATTCAAAGCTTTTAAAAACTTATGTACACTCCTTAAAGTATTAGAGACAGGAAGAAAAATACATTTTCACAAAGAAATACACCCAGCTAAGGCTGACCTTTGGGTGTAGGGAATATACTATGAAAACATTTTTATTTATTTACCTTGTCTCGTGATACAGCTGAAGGTAGTTCTCTTGCTAGCCTGTTTCTTCTTTGTTCCTATAAGATGTTACGAAGCTTTTCTGATTATCAGAATATTGAGATGTTCATCTTAGTTGCAAAGTATGGAGTAACTTACACATTTATCATATTACTTTTGGGACTTATGTATGCCATAATTGATTGTATTTTAAAACAAATAAATTTGAAACCTAATGCTTCCCTGTGTTTGTTTGTTTTCTGCCCAAACACATCTGCTAAGGGATATAATACAGCACTAGTAACAGTGGTTCCCTTTACCAGGGACGCCCAAATGAAGGGTAGTAGATAAAACTTGTCTTCCTCAGGGAGTTAAGAAACACTGACTTAAACTGATTCCATATCAACATGGAACATAGGCTTTCGGCATACCATGAAGAGTCTGAAGTATACACCTTAGAAAACCTTAAATGTCACTCAGATTACAAAAGCAAAACCCCCATAACATAAATGTCTATTTGAAAAAAGGCTTTTAAAGAATATTGTCTTCTGGTAATGGTATTGATAACTGAGAGACTGTTCTGTAACCTATTTAATTTAACATACTGATAAATTACTTGTTGCTATATTATCAAATGGTTACAAAACTATAGACATCATGTTAGATTAACGTCATCATGTACTGAGCCCATGCAGTAATCTGGCCACCATAGCAAGTAGATACAGACAAGTATAGATAAGGGTGATAAGCCTCTTACAGGCATTTGGAAAATTTAAACCTGAGGTGGTAGAATAGCATTTACCAAAAATTGCTCCTCAAATGAGAACATTTCATGAACATTCTCAAGCTTGCAAAGATCTATAAGTTAACAAAGTTTCAAAACTGATCTCTTTGTTATAGAACTTTTAAAGCAAAAATGTCAATTATTTACATTTTCCGCGGTTATCAAGTGATAAAATGACACGATAGAGACAGCCCCCACTCTCACTGTTAGGAGACCCACAAGAAGATCAAGCTACTCAGCCATAATGAATATGTAGAGGACCTAAGTCAGACTCCTATAGGGTCCTTTTTTTGCCTACTTATGGGACCCTTTTCACCCTGATGGGTTGCCTCATCCAGCCTTTATTGTGGTGTTATATGCCTATTCTTACTGTTTGGTTTGTGTCCCTCTTTTCTAAAGGACAGTGAAGGAGGAGTGAACCTGGGAGAGAGGGAGGTGGGGAAGGGAAGAGGGAGGAGAGACTGAGTGAAGGAGGAGTGAACCTGGGAGAGAGGGAGGTGGGGAAGGAGACAGGGAGGAGAGACTGAGTGAAGGAGGAGTGAACCTGGGAGAG